ATAGGTTCCCACTCGGAAATGCATGAAAGAATATAAGTGAACGTTTGAAAATGTATTTAGAAGCCTAGTAAAAAACATTTCGGTGTGCAAAATTTTTGAACACCGAAATGTTTTTTACTAGGCTTCTAAATATATTTTCAAACGTTCACTTATATTCTTTCATGCATTTCCGAGTGGAAACCTATCTTATTTTGTACATACAAACTGCAAAACTTTTATATTAAGCAAATATATAATTATTATGGTCGGTAAAACAGGACGGTCCGGTATCCTCTTAAAGCATAAAATAACAATAATAAAATAAAATTTGATAATTTTTTTATACGTTTTTGTTCATTAAAGTAACGATTTTTCTGTTTCTATGATTGATATTGCAATATTTTTGACTAATAGTGTATTTTATAAAGCAGCGGAAGTATATTTTAAATCATTTATCCGAGAGTTTAAACCGGAATTTGCTATCTGCTTTGGAAAAGGAATATTTTTATTACGAAAGGCGCGCAAAAGATTGATAGGGAAATATCATTAAAACGAGGCATTTAAGGGGAGAAAGGGGGGAGAAGGAGACTTGAGCGCATATTAAAAAAGTGAACGTAAAAGCACGAGGGAATACATATTGTAAGCTTGAAGAAGGTCGCTCTCTTTAAATCCAGTGACATTCGAAAGAAAGCAATTTTATTCTATTTTTATTCTATTTTTATTCTACTAACACTACCTTGAATATTTCATTTTCCGTATCGTTATTCAATAGCCACGAACAATGAACGTGTATTTCGATTTCGATTTCTGAGAAAATATCCCGGATATTATGAAAATAAAACAATTCTCAGTTACATCAAAGTTTAATAAAAATGACAATATTATTATTCTAGAAATAATTGAATGAAAAACATTGAATGTTATTTTATCAATATCTAATAGATATCAAATTATCTTAAAGATACATTTAAAAACTGCAAAATATTCTATAATTAATAATGTCATTCCTATTACACGACTCTTATCTAATATATTAATACTTTTATTATTAATACACATAATAGTTTTTGATATTTCAACGTAATCTATTATATACATAATTAGACATAAATATTATGATTATTATAAATATAGATTTATATTGAAATATATTCACTTTCATTACTTAATGCATTATTTTTTATTCTCAGAATTTGCTTTTATTCGCTTCTGAAGATTTTTTTACTGTACGCGCTTTCTTTGAGATGGTGTACGTTTTATCAAAGTTTTATACAAAAGACTACATCCCTCTAAGATTTTTATTTCTCTCCTTTTTATTTTTTGTGCGCATTGTTACAACCAACTCAACAACTGCGAATGTCAAGTATTTTTCATGTAACTTTATAAAGCTGAAAATATAACATAAAGTCTATTTTTGTAATAATCTGGCAGACACACACACACAGTTTATTATTCTACAATAGAACAAATATCTTAATTGAATATAATAAAACTCTTTAAATTTTGTTGTGTAAAGATCGGATGTGACAATATTTTATATTAATTTTGATTAGATATATCTATGTTAATTAATTATTAATTTGGTTCACAGGGGTTTGGCAAAGCTGATCATCAAGTGTCGGTTGAGTTACTGAAGAAAAAATATCCCGAATACAACATTACATGGTCAGACGAAGGTTACTAACAAGAAGAAAAAAAATACCGCACATCTTTCTCGCTTGTAAACATGTTTTTAATTTAACAAATATATAGTCATATAAAACATTGAAACGCCTTGCTTTATTAAAATGTGATGTGCTCTAATCTTCTACATATTTTATAAAATTATATATTATTATATGTAAGAAAGTAAATTAATTAAATAATTATTGATGGAATATCCACGGAAATTATTAATTTATCTCTTTGGAATTCTTCACGTGAAAATCTTTCCGATAATATCATGCTTATACTACTAACTTTTGTGCACTATATTTGTACTAAATATATAATATTATTATTAAATATATAATAGCTGGAATAATTTTATATTTTAAATGGCAGATAGCAAAAAAAGTAATTATATTATAAAATAGTGTTAATATAATATAATATTGACATACGCAATAGAATATTTTTATATATTACAATAATATATAATAGTTCTTCTTTTTTTTTATTGTATGAGATCCAGTCTATTAAATCTTAATTTTGTTGATTTTTTGTGGCATCGTAAAATATTAGAATTTTGTCGTTCTGTTTAAACCATACACGTACAACATAAATATAAAAAGTATCTTCCACAAACCATATTTCATAGATCATTCATTGTTGACATAGATGGTATGTTAAACACACAGTTTACATTGTTTACGCGCATAGACTCTATTTCAGGATTGTGCTGTAGATTTCAAAATTACGTCTACATGAATTGTTTACGTATTGTCTACATGATGTTTACATGGATCTTTTTCATAGACAATGCAAACTATGTAAGCTTTATAAATTAGATATCAAAATGCAAAAAAAAAGAATGATTATATTATAAAATAGTTAATGTATCTGTATATGTAATTTTAGTAAAGTAAGGCAGAGAAAAACGTAACGCTATTGTACAATAATTTTTTACGACTTACGTTTTTCTCTGCCTTACTTTACATCCACGACGTCCAGTCACACTAAATCCCATAAAACCACCGATCTTTAATGATATCTCGTCGGTGATAATAGTCTACGTCTAAACGGTCATCTATGTCAACAATGAGAATATCTATATGGAATATGGTTTGTCGAAAACTTTCTTTATATTTTGTTTTTTGTTTCATATTTGAAACATAATTACAAACAGAAACTTAAGCAACCAATGTCTGATGACAGAGAACGAGACGTCTGTAATCAGACATTGGCTGCTAAGGTTTCTATTTGTAATTATATTTCAAGTATGAAACATAAAAAACAAAATATAAAGAAAGTTTTCGACAAACCATATTCCATATAGATACTATCATTGTTGACATAGATGACAGGTAACACATATATTTTACATTGTTTAGACGTAGACTATATTATCATCGACGAGATATCATTAAAGACCGGTGGTCTTATGAGATTTAGTGTAACTGAAAAAAAAACTCGCTCCGCGTTATTTTAGTTCATCCAGTTATTGTTTTATTATCGAAAATATATAGATCTTTTATATAACTGCGTCAAGAACAACAAAATAAACAGTTTATTGTAAATTTACTGTTTTATTATCGACAATGCAAAGATTTACTTATCTACAATAGCCCCAGCAAACCAATATGTAACTGTTACATAACCTAGGGAGCACATAAAAAGAACAATGTTATGTTTCACGATTATATAGACGAGATGTAAGTGTTATATAACCTTGAAAATAATTACAATGTTATTAGCCGCATTTTGCAGGCTTTATATACGCTCATGACAAGAATTTGAATATGGGTATAGATAGTGAATAGCGCGCCGTATAGCGGTAAGCAAGTGAACTATAATCCCAATATTAGTTACAAAAGGACTTTATTTGGGCGATCATAGGACGTTTTCAAAATTACGTCTTTGGCTAGTCTAAGAAATGAGGTCTTTTAAAC